TCTTTTCTTTTATTCCCTTGTCCGTAATACCGCTTGATCTCGTCATGAGTCTTGCCCATTCTGTCAGAATTCAACAATGATATTTTTGTAATCTACGTTACCTTACATACTAATTTATTGAACGTAATAATCGTCCTCATATACACTGATTTTACAACTTGATTAGCAATAAATAAATATATGTTCATAACAGTTACCGGTGTAGCAGCCCAGAACACACACACACACACACACACAGAGAGAGACACACACACACACACACACACACACACACACAGAGATTATACCCCGGGGTAAACTATAGGCTAGTCCAGTTTATACCCCGGGGGTATATTCTGGACCAGGCCAAAGTATACCCCTCCAGCCCAGACTATACCCCTAAAAAATTATGTTGACAATTCACTCAATATGAGTGAAGGACTCCTGTGATAGCTATGCAGGTATTACTTGATTCATTGCAATCTTCGTTACCATACTTTGAGGAACGAGTACAAAATTGAGGGGAAAGATATGTTGCAGTTTTCTTAAGAGATCGAAATATCATATGTTTAGGGTTAAGATCAATATATCTAAAAATCTATGTGATATTAAAATTGATACATGCTTCACGAAATACAACTTCTATCAATCTTTTGAAATGATGGCTACCGACACCCAAATATAGTGATCATTTCCGAATGCTTCTACCGAAGAAATTCTCAACAGTAGAACAATTGTTTTGAAATATTCTGAAACTATATCTCTCCAATGAAGTAAATTAACAAACATTCTGACCTGTTTCATAGGGAATTACCCTAATAAAGATGAAGTTTCCCTTCCAAATTTGAATTTCGTGAAATGTCACTGAAGTGCTGCAATCATGTGACAGCAACCGGTGGTAACTGTTGTAGGTTATCAATTATTTGCCTGGGTTCTCTGACTATGCTACGAAGCGAAATGTTCTATTTCCAATAATATTTTGTAAGATTCCATATCAGGTGGTAACGTATATTACTTCCATGATCTTGACTGGAAGCATATTGCACTCCCTTTTCGGTTTGATTACACTATGAAAACACAAAGCATTCATCCTAATCACTTTTATAGGTAGCTGTTATTCATGTTTCCGTACAGTAGTGGTAACGTAGCTTTCATGCTTTACACAACTCTTTCTATAGACCGGGTTCGTCTTTGTGTACGGTTATATATGGTATGATGTGTTCCAAGATGAAACATTTTGTACATGTACTATATCCAGTAAACACTTGCAAGCTTTCAAAACAAATGTTTGTCAATATATATGCATGTTACGTTCTGTAACGTAGATTACCGCTATTGTGGCGACATATTTCGTAGTGTCACATTTGTTTTGTTTATTATCATAATCCCTTCATTTTTTTCATAGGTTTTACATTCATGTACGTACAACCTATGGGGAGTGATTTTAAACGCCTATGATGGTAAACATACTAAGTGTATCCATTTGTTTAAACACCGACACCAAGAATGAATAAATTGTGACATATTTTGGTTGTTTCAAAGGAAATAGCGATTACCAGTTGATTTCTACGAATTATACCATGTGTACTTGGTAGTACTGGATGCGTAATTGACCTTTATTGTGTTTATTCGTCTGCTAAACAAGTGCAAATCAAAACGACATAAGAAATGGGCAATTGGGCATTCTCTCTGAGAATTGGTGCACTGCTAAATTAGACAGAAAACAAGTCATGATTTGAGCTTTTTTTATTCTCATGTTTGTGTTCTCCGTCTCATGACCCTCATCACGTTCTCCGTCTCATGACCCTCATCACGTTCAATAATCTCAGAGCTGGATACACCTCTCTAACTAGCATGGCTATATACCTCCAGCAGTTGTCTCCCTTACGCCAGCTCAGAGTAAAGTAATATCATCTGGATATGCCTCAAGTTACATGCACGGATCTAAATACACAGCAGTTGTTTCCCCTGATGTCCCGGGACAGAGTTTACGGTGTCAATACTAACAAGAGCCATTGTCCAAAGAAGGAGTATGGTTATTCAGGGGAGGTAACTGCACCTGACTTGACACCGTTGCACCTTAAAGGGAGATGAACATCCGGGACCTGACAATATGGAAAGGTAGATGAATGCAGATGGGATGGCGAATTATCTGTCGGACAACAGTATATGAAGGGCACTGTCCATATCGAAAGAAGACACTGAAGATCAGGGGAGATAACTTTATATTAAGGGAAATAACTGCATCCAAAGGAGGCACGTATAAATAAGGGGAGATAACTATATATGAAGGGACAGAACTGCATCCAAGGCAAGACACTTATAAATCAGGGGAGATATCTATATATGAAGGGGAATAACTATATATGTAGGGACGACTTACAAATCAGGGGAGATAACTGTATTAGGAGGAAATCACTCTACCAGGGGAGACAACTGTCTCTGAACACAGCTGAAAGTGGTTCTACACAGCTACCAGGTAGATGTAACTGAAGAAACAAACTAAAATCAAATGAATAGTTTGATGTGTGTAATAAAATGGACATAATCACAACCGTGTACATAAAATCATCAAAAAAAATATAAGTAGATTGTATATGATATGGTTGTCCAAGTAAAGTGCCCCTGCTGTAGATTCTGGAAGGACATCGTGTTGGGCCGGACTTGATCTCCTGCTGAGCTTGTGTGACATGCTCCCAGTAAATCTTCTCCAAGTAGTAAACACAATGACTGGAGTCAGTTGAGGAATGTGTTATGCAAGTTGTACAGACTGTAATTCCTGACTTCTGCTGGTTGACATGGAGACTGATACAAGCTGAAGTCTATGCTTGTCACGAAATGACCTGACATTGAACACCTAACATTATTGACATGCGGCCTGTTGTGGCATAGTTCACAGTAGATGCTGCCAGCGAGAGAGAGAACAAACCAGAGATGGAAAGGAGGACAGATAAAAGAAGACAGTTAAACAGACGAATACAGCTTGTACAGATACGCAGATAAATTCACTGCTGATCTACTTCTAGAGAAACAATGCTACTGACAGATGACAGATGACAGTGACTGTGTATTGAGGGATGGGAGAGGTGGAAAGTTGTTGGCAGACATGATGGCTGTTTATGCTGACATCAGTAAATGCTTGGACCCCAGTCTAATTTCTGATGTGTATGCTACGATAAATATTGACTGACATGTTCAGATCAGGGGTCTACTGGACACACTGACCACTAATGAGGCCTCAATGCTGATATAAGAAAATCATGATATTGACATGTTCAGAACGGATGATGAACTTCTTGACTAAAACTACAGTTCTGGCTACAGTGAATACATGGAGAATGTAAAACATGAACTCCTGGTGTTCAGGAGCAGACTACGAGTGCAGTCTACAGTGTAAATACAGAGAAGGGCTATGTACAGTAGAGAGATTCCACACCAGTCAGCATTGACAGTTCGTGTTTTGATTTTCAGCATCAAGCTAGCACTAAACAGACATAAAGTATAAAACGCGCATCTCTCGCTCAAATTCATGACCTGCCCGACACAGCAGACTAAATCATGTCAACCTGATTCAGACGTACAGATAAGCTGCGTATCTGTGTACATTAGGCAATATTTATGTGAAAACTCAATTCCTATTAAGTCAAATGCGGACAAGTATGCTTGAGTTTTGGTAAATACTAAAAAAATGTGATCTTGCATGCGTACACATGGAAATGTCAAATCTTAGCTTGCGTACCGGTGGATAGATAAAATAACTGAGGTGTACTGAGAGGTTCTATTTCAGGACATGAACTTGGCGACTTGCAGTCTTTCTTATAGTTTCTCATGTTACAGGTCAAATACAAATAATAAACTCTAACATTTAAACTTCATTACATTTTTAAAATTAATGGAAATGGCAAAATACCCAATTGAGTTTGAGTACAATTTATTTGGTTACTCAAAGGAAAATTATGATACCCAATTGAGATGAACACAAGCGAGTACATAACTCAATGACCCAAACAGTTATCTGTAGCTCTGCTGATTGGAAACCCTGCCTTAGATACACAGAATGTTTGCAAGTGTGTGAATCACGACTCAAAATAAATGCAAGTCCTATTTTGTAGGGAGACAGTGAACAAGGGCGAGAGATGGCGTGACACGGTTTGAACAACAATAATACTGACATGTAGCACATGATCTGGGGATCGGACAACCAACAACAGTGTTGTTCCTCACTGACAACACTGTGCACAACCTTGGGATGATAACAACAAACAACACAGCTGAACATCACATAACGGGGCTGGACTAAATATATACGTATCTATGTATAGGTCAATATAGTGAAAACAGCTAGAAAATGCTTTTGATATAAAACACTGAGGTTGTTGCCATTGTCTCTCAGTACAACAGTTACAGGTTGTCTCAAGGTAGACGTTTCTCACACCTGATATAATGTCTTCAACACCAGAACAGGATATCTGAGCAGGCGACCTCTGTCGTTAATGACACATTGTCTGTCTCTCAGACCAAGTGTCTTGGCTTGTCACAACTCTCAGACCACAGCTCGTGGCCTGTGACAAGCCTGGCTAGTTATTCTCGAAATGTTCATAGCCCTATGAACTTCTTAAGCTCATTCTAAACACTTCGGCTCTGATCAAAGTTAAGAATTCTTAGGGCTACGAAGGTTTCGATAATGCCGCTGGTCTCTAATCTTCGTAGTTTGACTGACGGATGGTCAGATATTGTCTGTGGTCAGATCTATCACAGACCTTGCTCTGATTCTCCGGTTGGCAAACACTTTGTTCACAACATCTGCCACGATAAGGAGACTCAGGTGTCCATCATGGCACCAGTTTTGAGTGAATGCATCTGTAGACAGATATACTAGAGCAGCATGTGTCGGTCATCAAGAAATGTTTTCTGTTTCAACATGGTATTCAGAAACCACTGGAGCACCCAGTGAATGGTACAGATCTCCACTTGTTTGATGCCAAGTGTCCACTGTTTGATGTCCCAGTGTCCACTGTTTGTCCACAGACACACAAGCTATAACGTGTCTTCAGACACACTGGTCCACTGTTTCTGTAGAGACTGAATCCATGAGAGCACTATAGCATGAGACACAGTTTTCTGCTGTTGGCAGTCAAGTGAGAATGCTGTTTGATGGCTTGATCTGTCAGAAGTGGTCTACAAGTACTGATACGCTGTTCTTGCTGACGTGGCCCTGCGTGACGCCCTCCATGCCCGCCAGTGACATGTTCTGCCACTTGGTCGGCTGACCTGAAACATCAGATAAACAATGCTTGCTTTGAACAACATTTTAAGAGAGATAATACCTGGGATACACAATTATATATAAATTATTTGAGATACAACACTTTGAAATACAAAAATATCTTTGAAATATACAACATCTTGGGCTTCAATAAAAATATGCAATGCTTTGAGAAAACAAATAGGACTTTAAGACGTTTGCTTAAAACATGACTCTGACATAAGCAACAGGTTAAAACAGGACTTTGAACATTCAAATAACACTTTAAGATTCAACCACAACATTTTGAGATAAACAACACTCTTTGATAGAAACAACATTTTAAGAGAAATAATACATGGGATATTCAATATATTTAAATAATTTGAGACACAACACTTTAAAGTACAAAAAGATCTTTAAAATATATAATATTTTGAGATATGCTTAAAATATGCGATGATTTGAGGAAACAAACAGGACTTGGCGTTTATTTAAAACAGGACTTTTAGATTAAACATCACTCTAACATCAACAACACTTTCAGAATAAACAAAACTGAAATAAACAACTCTTTGACATTAAGCAATAGTTGAGAAAAACAATTTTAGCCAGCAACACTTTCAACAAACATGTCGAGATAGAAAACACATTGACCCAGCAACACTTTCAACAAACATGTTCAGATAGAAAACACATTGACCGAGCAACACTTTCAACAAACATGTTGAGATAGAAAACACATTGAGCCAGCAACACTTTCAACAAACATGTTGAGATAGAAAACACATTGACCCAGCAACACTTTCAACAAACATGTTGAGATAGAAAACACATTCACCCAGCAACACTTTCAACAAACATGTTGAGATAGAAAACACATTCACCCAGCAACACTTTCAACAAACATGTTGAGATAGAAAACACATTGAGACAGCAACACTTTCAACAAACATGTTGAGATAGAAAACACATTGAGCCAGCAACACTTTCAACAAACATGTTCAGATAGAAAACACGTTGAGCCAGCAACACTTTCAACAAACATGTTGAGATAGAAAACACATTGAGCCAGCAACACTTTCAACAAACATGTTGAGATAGAAAACACATTGAGCCAGCAACACTTTCAACAAACATGTTGAGATAGAAAACACATTCACCCAGCAACACTTTCAACAAACATGTTGAGATAGAAAACACATTCACCCAGCAACACTTTCAACAAACATGTTGAGATAGAAAACACATTGAGCCAGCAACACTTTCAACAAACATGTTGAGATAGAAAACACATTGAGCCAGCAACACTTTCAACAAACATGTTGAGATAGAAAACACATTCACCCAGCAACACTTTCAACAAACATGTTCAGATAGAAAACACATTGAGGCAGCAACACTTTCAACAAACATGTTGAGATAGAAAACACATTGAGCCAGCAACACTTTCAACAAACATGTTGAGATAGAAAACACATTGAGCCAGCAACACTTTCAACAAACATGTTGAGATAGAAAACACATTCACCCAGCAACACTTTCAACAAACATGTTCAGATAGAAAACACATTGAGGCAGCAACACTTTCAACAAACATGTTGAGATAGAAAACACATTGAGGCAGCAACACTTTCAACAAACATGTTGAGATAGAAAACACATTCACCCAGCAACACTTTCAACAAACATGTTGAGATAGAAAACACATTCACCCAGCAACACTTTCAACAAACATGTTGAGATAGAAAACACATTCACCCAGCAACACTTTCAACAAACATGTTGAGATAGAAAACACATTGAGCCAGCAACACTTTCAACAAACATGTTGAGATAGAAAACACATTGAGCCAGCAACACTTTCAACAAACATGTTCAGATAGAAAACACGTTGAGCCAGCAACACTTTCAACAAACATGTTGAGATAGAAAACACATTGAGCCAGCAACACTTTCAACAAACATGTTGAGATAGAAAACACATTGAGCCAGCAACACTTTCAACAAACATGTTGAGATAGAAAACACATTCACCCAGCAACACTTTCAACAAACATGTTGAGATAGAAAACACATTGAGCCAGCAACACTTTCAACAAACATGTTGAGATAGAAAACACATTGAGCCAGCAACACTTTCAACAAACATGTTGAGATAGAAAACACATTGAGCCAGCAACACTTTCAACAAACATGTTGAGATAGAAAACACATTCACCCAGCAACACTTTCAACAAACATGTTCAGATAGAAAACACATTGAGGCAGCAACACTTTCAACAAACATGTTGAGATAGAAAACACATTGAGCCAGCAACACTTTCAACAAACATGTTGAGATAGAAAACACATTGAGGCAGCAACACTTTCAACAAACATGTTGAGATAGAAAACACATTGAGCCAGCAACACTTTCAACAAACATGTTGAGATAGAAAACACATTGAGCCAGCAACACTTTCAACAAACAAGTTGAGATAGAAAACACGTTGAGTCAGCAACACTTTCAACAAACATGTTGAGATAGAAAACACATTGAGCCAGCAACACTTTCAACAAACATGTTGAGATAGAAAACACATTCACCCAGCAACACTTTCAACAAACATGTTGAGATAGAAAACACATTGAGCCAGCAACACTTTCAACAAACAAGTTGAGATAGAAAAAATATTGACCCAGCAACACTTTCAACAAACATGTTCAGATAGAAAACACATTGAGCCAGCAACACTTTCAACGAACAAGTTGAGATAGAAAACACATTGGGGCAGCAACACTTTCAACAAACATGTTGAGATAGAAAACACATTCACCCAGCAACACTTTCAACAAACATGTTGAGATAGAAACACATTGAGCCAGCAACAATTTCAACAAACAAGTTGAGATAGAAAACACATTGAGGCAGCAACACTTTCAACAAACATGTTCAGATAGAAAACACATTGAGGCAGCAACACTTTCAACAAACATGTTGAGATGAGGATGAGATACTGACCTGAAGGTGAGTCGCTGGACTTGAGAGCGAAGGACCAACTCTCTGGGTTGACGGAGGCACAGTGGGGGAGTCTCAGCTCCACAGGGGTGTTGAACTTGAGTCCGTGAGGCCCGCACATGACCAAGGGGCTGAGGAGAGTCTCGCCTGAAGGGTAACAGGAACAGTCTAATACACAGCAGGTGAGTGAGTGAGTGAGTGAGTAAGCATGACGAGTGAAGGATTTAACCATTAGGCTACCCCACCGCCCGATCAGACAAGTAATCTTGTGAGCGAGCATCAGTGGGATATGAAGACACTTCCAGAATGTCGCCTCTTTGGACCAGCAGAGATAGCTGGTGACTACATTGTGTAGTAAGCTGAATACCGAAAAACACCGGGCTAACCGCGTTCTACATACACAGGATATCAGTGTATTTACCTTTGTCTTTGTCCAGGGGCGGCAGTATGCTGTTGTCTCGACACACCTTGAAGTAGATCTCCTGTTTAATGCCTTCATGAATTGCTCCTTTGGGTATCACAATACTCACACCTGTGGCAGACAAGTGAAAACATCAGTATACTCACAATGTGGCCAAATGTGTTTGAGGATGAAAAGAATGCATTGTATTTAAGGATGTAACATATGAATTTAAACCATGTTTAAACCTGTTTGAGAATGTGATTGAATCTGGAAAGAGAGAACCAAGAAAAGAAAAGAAGAAGCACATATAAAAGAACCAATGAATATATAACATACCACAGTTCATGTGTAGGTTGTAGATTGATAAGCTATGTTCAAACTATCAGAAATTGGAAGCCTGTCTCAAGAAATATGGTTTTTCATTCATGAAAAGTCATGTGTGGACATGTTGGTGGGAAGGGAGAGGTCATGTGTGGACATGTTGGAGGGAAGGGAGAGGACATGTGTGGACATGTTGGAGGGAAGGGAGAGGCCATGTGTGGACATGTTGGAGGGAAGGGAGAGGCCATGTGTGGACATGTTGGAGGGAAGGGAGAGGCCATGTGTGGACATGTTGGAGGGAATGGGAGAGGACATGTGTGGACATGTTGGACTGACTGACTGACTGACTCACTGAGTTTGGTTTTACGCCGCTTTTAGCAATATTTCTGCAACATCACGGCGGGGGACACCACAAATGGGCTTCACACATTGTGCCCATGTGGGGATTGGACATGTTGGAGGGAATGGGAGAGGACATGTGTGGACATGTTGGAGGGAAGGGAGAGGTCATGTGTGGACATGTTGGAGGGAAGGGAGAGGTCATGTGTGGACATGTTGGAGGGAAGGGAGAGGACATGTGTGGACATGTTGGAGGGAAGGGAGAGGTCATGTGTGGACATGTTGGTGTGAAGGGAGAGGCCATGTGTGGACATGTTGGTGTGAAGGGAGAGGTCATGTGTGGACATGTTGGAGGGAAGGGAGAGGACATGTGTGGACATGTTGGTGTGAAGGGAGAGGTCATGTGTGGACATGTTGGAGGGAAGGGAGAGGTCATGTGTGGACATGTTGGAGGGAAGGGAGAGGACATGTGGACATGTTGGAGGGAAGGGAGAGGTCATGTGTGGACATGTTGGAGGGAAGGGAGAGGTCATGTGTGGGGCATGTTGGAGAAGGGAGAGGACATGTGTGGACATGTTGGAGGAAAGGGAGAGGTCATGTGTGGACATGTTGGAGGAAGGGAGAGGTGTGACATGTGTGGACATGTTGGAGGGAAGGGAGAGGTCATGTGTGGACATGTTGGAGGGAAGGGAGAGGTCATGTGTGGACATGTGGTGGGAAGGAGAGGCCATGTGTGGACATGTTGGAGGGAAGGGAGAGGCCATGTGTGGACATGTTGGAGGGAAGGGAGAGGGACATGTGTGGATGTTGGAGGAAGGGAGAGGTTATGTGTGTGGACATGTTGGGGAAGGGAGAGGCCATGTGTGGACATGTTGGAGGGAAGGGAGAGGCCATGTGTGGGACATGTTGATAGGGAAGGGGAGAGGCCATGTGGACATGTTGGAGGAAGGAAGATGCCATGGTGGGAATGTTGGGAGAGGCCATGTGGGACATGTTGGGAGGGAAGGGAGAGGCCATGTGGGACATGTTGGACATGGAAGGAGGAGAGGAGATGCCATGTGGACATGTTGGAGGGAAGGGAGGTCAGTGTGGACATGTGTGGACATGTTGGAGGGAAGGGAGAGGACATGTGGACATGTTGGAGGAGAAGGGAGATGTTGGAGGTGGGAGAGGACATGTTGGACATGAAGGGAGAGAAGGGAGTGGACATGTGTGGACATGTGGATATGTTGGTGGGAAGGAGAGGTCATGTGTGGACATGTTGGTGGAAAGGGAGAGGTCATGTGTGACATGTTGGAGGAGGGGAAGGAGAGGCCATGTGTGGACATGTTGGAGGAAGGGAGAGGCCATGTGTGACATGTTGGAGGGAAGGAGAGGTCATGTGTGGACACATGGAGGGAAGGGAGAGGACATGTGTGACATGTTGGTGGTGGAAGGTAGAGGACATGTGTGGACATGTTGGAGGGAAGGGAGAGGACATGTGTGGACATGTTGGAGGGAAGGGAGAGGCCATGTGTGGACATGTTGGAGGGAAGGGAGAGGACATGTGTGGACATGTTGGAGGGAAGGTAGAGGACATGTGTGGACATGTTGGAGGGAAGGGAGAGGCCATGTGTGGACAATGTGAAGACTGTATACCTGTTTCCCTGGACTCCAGGACCCCCGCGTCAGCATCAAAGACTCCCCGCGCCGTGGCCACAACTGTGTGCCTCTCATCTACGTCTTGGTGGAAGTCACTTCTGAAAACAGAGTCCGCCACAGAATCAGAAACAATCTGAATGTCACACATTACACAGGACTGGAACTAACAGATTTTGGCACTTGTACAGGCTATTATAGCTAACACAATGTTGAACTGTCACAGTCTATTGTAGCTAACACAATGTTGCACTGCTACAGGCTATTGTTGCTAACACAATGTTGCACTGCTACAGGCTATTGTAGCTGACACAATGTTGAACTGTCACAGTCTATTGTAGCTAACACAATGTTGCACTGCTACAGGCTATTGTAGCTGACACAATGTTGAACTGTCACAGTCTATTGTTGCTAACACAAAGTTGCACTGCTACAGGCTATTGTAGCTGACACAATCTTGCACTGCTACAGGCTACTGTAGCTAACACAATGTTGCACTGTTGTGGACACAATGTTGCACTGTTACAGGCTATTGCGGCTAACACAATGTTGAACTGCTACAGGCTATTGTAGCTAACACAATGTTGCACTGTTACATGCTATTGAAGCTAACACAATGTTGCACTGCTACAGGCTATTGTAGCTAACACAATGTTGCACTGTTACAGGCTATGGAAGCTAACACAATGTTGCACTGCTACATGCTATTGTAGCTAACACAATGTTGCACTGCTACAGGCTATTGTAGCTAACACAATGTTGCATTGTTACAGGCTATGGAAGCTAACACAATGTTGCACTGATACATGCTATTGTAGCTAACACAATGTTGCACTGCTACAGGCTATTGTAGCTAACACAGTATTGCACTGTTACAGGCTATTGTAGCTAACACAATGTTGCATTGTTACAGGCTTTTGTAGCTAACACAATGTTGCACTGCTACATGCTATTGTAGCTAACACAATGTTGCACTGTTACAGGCTATTATAGCTGACACAGTATTGCACTGCTACAGGCTATTGTAGCTAACACAATGTTGCATTGTTACAGGCTTTTGTAGCTAACACAATGTTGCACTGTTACAGGCTATTGTAGCTAATGTAATGTTGCACTTTTACAGTCTATTGTAGCTAACACAATGTTGCACTGTTACAGGCTATTGTAGCTAACACAATGTTGCATTGTTACAGGCTTTTGTAGCTAACACAATGTTGCACTGTTACAGGCTATTGTAGCTAATGTAATGTTGCACTTTAACAGTCCATTGTAGCTAACACAATGTTGCACTGTTACACACAGTTACAGACTACCATTGTTGAAAACACTGTTGCACACTACCATCAATATACACACGGTGGCTCTGTTAGACACTAGTTGCACACTACTATAGTTGCACGTGGTGTTGCACACTACTACCTCATATCCAGGCCATGCCTAGGTCATGTCAAGGTCACTTCTAGCACATGTCGAGGTCATGTTTAACTACAGACGTGACAATCTAAATGGTAAGGAGGTATTTAATATTTCCTGGCCATAGATAAGTGGTTCTAGCTACGCATGTGCTTCAAGAGATTTGTTGAGTGAGTGAGAGTGAGTGAGTGTCTTACCCCAATATTACCGTTTCCGGGGTGGAAACGCTGTCCGACGTACCACCACCATCCGTGTCACCTGACTTATCTGAGTTAGCCTCGCTTTCATTCACACTAGCCTCACTCTCAATATCTCTAGCCTCATTCCCATTGCCCTTAGCCTCATTCTGATTATCCTTAGCCTCGCTTTGGTGTTTGTTGTTATCAGCAGCTTTCCCATTGTAAGAGTTGAAGTTTGGAGGGGGAGGGAGTGGTGGAGGGGGTTGTTTGATGGTGGGGGTGTTGTTTGAGGAAGTAGAGGAGGGGGAGGAGGAGGAGGGGGGAGAGAGGGAGGGGAGGTCGGGTAGTGGGTCCCTTCCTGAAGCAGAGTAGAGAAGAAAGAAACACAGAGTAAGTACATGAGAGATGGCAAACATGGCAAGCTCATGATCCCTAGCAACCTGAGAGAGATCCACAAGCTTACCCCTAGCGATACACAGCGACCTGATACAGAGCACTAGCAAGCCTGGTAACCATGGTAATCTGACAGGGCAGGTTAGTAGCAAGCTGAGAATCACACCAGGTTAGTTGTAGAAACAGATGCTAAAGTTACAGCTTGAGTTATGACTTCACTGCTAGTATGTCAGTTGCCTGACAGAATACTTCTGTTGCAATATCTTTACACAATTCAACAGTTACAACAATCATTGAAAACAAATAGAAACTATCTGTCAAAGCAAAGCAAAACAATGTCATCACTTACAATAATACATTACTTAAGGGATGCTACAGGTTGATGCTCACATCACTGGTTGGGTGACTATAGATAAATACAAGGGATGCTACAGGTTGATGCCCACATCACTGGTTGGGTGACTATAGATAAATACAAGGGATGCTACAGGTTGATGCTCACATCACTGGTTGGGTGACTATAGATAAATACAAGGGATGCTACAGGTTGATGCTCACATCACTGGTTGGGTGACTATAGATAAATACAAGGGATGCTACAGGTTGATGCTCACATCACTGGCTGGGTGACTATAGATAAATACAAGGGATGCTACAGGTTGATGCTCACATCACTGGTTGGGGACTATAGATAAATACAAGGGATGCTACAGGTTGATGCCTCACATCACTGGTTGCGACATAGATAAATACAAGGGATGCTACAGGTTGATGCCCACATCACTGGTTGGGTGACTATAGATAAATACAAGGGATGCTACAGGTTGATGCTCACATCACTGGTTGGGTGACTATAGATAAATACAAGGGATGCTACAGGTTGATGCTCACATCACTGGTTGGGTGACTATAGATAAATACAAGGGATGCTACAGGTTGATGCTCACATCACTGGTTGGGTGACTATAGATAAATACAAGGGATGCTACAGGTTGATGCTCACATCACTGGTTGGGTGACTATAGATAAATACAAGGGATGCTACAGGTTGATGCTCACATCACTGGTTGGGTGACTATAGATAAATACAAGGGATGCTACAGGTTGATGCTCACATCACTGGTTGGGTGACTATAGATAAATACAAGGGATGCTACAGGTTGATGCCCACATCACTGGTTGGGTGACTATAGATAAATACAAGGGATGCTACAGGTTGATGCTCACATCACTGGTTGGGTGACTATAGATAAATACAAGGGATGCTACAGGTTGATGCTCACATCACTGGTTGGGTGACTATAGATAAATACAAGGGATGCTACAGGTTGATGCTCACATCACTGGTTGGGTGACTATAGATAAATACAAGGGATGCTACAGGTTGATGCTCACATCACTGGTTGGGACTATAGATAAATACAAGGGATGCTACAGGTTGATGCTCGGGTGACTATAGATAAATACAAGGGATGCTACAGGTTGATGCTCACATCACTGGTTGGGTGACTATAGATAAATACAAGGGATGCTACAGGTTGATGCTCACATCACTGGTTGGGTGACTATAGATAAATACAAGGATGATGCTACAGGTTGATGCTCACATCACTGGTTGGGTCACTATAGATAAATACAAGGGATGCTACAGGTTGATGCTCACATCACTGGTTGGGTGACTATAGATAAATACAAGGATGCTACAGGTTGATGCTCACATCACTGGTTGGGTGACTATAGATAAATACAAGGGATGCTACAGGTTGATGCCTCACATCACTGGTTGACTATAGATAAATACAAGGAATGCTACAGGTTGATGCTCACATCACTGGTTGGGTGACTATAGATAAATACAAGGGATGCTACAGGTTGATGCTCACATCACTGGTTGGGTGACTATAGATAAATACAAGGGATGCTACAGGTTGATGCTCACATCACTGGTTGGGTGACTATAGATAAATACAAGATAAATACAAGGGATGCTACAGGTTGATGCCCACATCACTGGTTGGGTGACTATAGATAAATACAAGGGATGCTACAGGTTGATGCTCACATCACTGGTTGGGTGACTATAGATAAATACAAGGGATGCTACAGGTTGATGCTCACATCACATCAAGGAATGGTTGATGCTCACATCACTGGTTGGGTGACTATAGATAAATACAATAACAGGAAATGAAGGAACAGATGAAAATGAAAAGCATCAAAAACATTTGGGTCTATCAGTTGAAACCGATTGGGTAAACTCCTGTGTTGAATATCAGTAGAACAAACTAAGCAGACACAGGGAGACACAGCTCTACTCAAACAGAAAGTCTGCAGCCATCCCTCCCAACTCACTTGACGCTCTCGGAGATGATCCTCGCCATGTTGGCGGCAGGTTTGCTGGGGCTTGGAGGAGATGAGGTTGTTGGTTTGCGGTACGTCTCGAAGGCGCTGCTCCGCTGCTCGGGGGGAGCAGGTGGTGGTGGGGGTAGGGGCTTCTCCTGACTTCTATCTCTGTGGAGTATATCAGTAACATATATAACAATCCATCTACAACAAGGGGAGGCAATCCAATTAAAAGGCCATGCAATCTATAATAAGGGGAGGCAATCCATCTAAAATCAAGGGGGGTAATCCATCTTAAAATATTGGCTCAATCCTGGAACAAGGCAATGTTTAACACTGGGGCAGTATGCTATGAAAACCGACGCAATCCCTGTTTGTATATATAAAGGTAGGTAACAATAGGCATAGGTTATGCTCTTATAGCAACAGGAAGCAATCAATTTCCAACAAAGAAGACAATCCTTTAATGAAAAGGGGAACATCTTTCAATAATAAAGGGAGATAATTCTTCAAAATACAAATTAGAAAAATAACTCTGCTGCCACTTTCAGAAGAAGAATTTGATGCTGGGCATCACCAGCTGATGAAACCGCGTCATTGTGTTTACAGTTACAGCAAAGTACTGAAGTCAAGAGATTAGATAACACAGAGCTGTATACAACAGCTGTATACAACAGCTGTATACAACAGTACAGGGTTGACCTGCAGGCTACTGGTGGATGAGATCGCTGTCTACCTCTACACCTGCATGCTTGGATGTTAGTACATGGCTACATCTCTACACTGTATAGTTGTAGTATATATGTATATATCGGCCTGTACATCATGCCAGGATATACACGGCTGCTCTGTCCTTCCTAGCCATCGGTCAGTTTATATTGACAAAAGTCCTTCATGTCATATTACAGCCTTAAACATTCAGTGCCACAACACAGCCATAAATTATATTCAAGTTTTATGTCAGGAACAAATTTCAACAAACTTTCATATCTTCTTTTACTTTCAGATTTTTCCACCTATCTACATATTCAGTTGATGAAATGCAAAACTGCTTTCACCACCCGACACAAAATACAGGTGCTTCCAGGTGAGATACGCAATACTCGGTGAAGACAGCTGTACAATCATCAGACAAGGTGAAATAATCGTCAGACCAGAAGAGCTAGATAATCCTCTCACAAGAATAGGTTGATAATCCTCATACAAGAAGAGCTATATAATGCTCACACCAAAACAGATACATAATCCTCAGATCAGAAGAGCCATATAATCGTTGGACCAGAAGAGCTAGATAATCCTCTCATAAGATTAAGAAAAGGGAAATAATTCTTGGACCAGAAGAGCTAAACAATCCTCAGACCAGAAGAGCTAGATAATCTTCACATCAGAAGAGCTATATAATCCTTGGACCAGAAGAGCTAAATAATCCTCAGACCAGAAGAGCTAGATAATCTTCACATCAGAAGAGCTATATAATCCTTGGACCAGAAGAGCTAAATAATCCTAATACCAAAGAGCTATACAATCTTCAGATCAGAAGAGTTAGATATGCCTCAGACAAGAAGAGTTAGATATGCCTCAGACAAGAATAGCTAATATCTTCAGATCAAACATCTACATACTCATGAGACCAAAGAGATATATAATCCTTAGAACAGAAGAGCTAAATAATCCTCATATCTTGCTCATACCAAAGACCTAGATAATCCTCAGACCAGAAGAGCTCAATAATTGAGTGAACTTTGAATTACCAGATCCACAAAACATGAATCTGGAGACGACAGCATTGTAATCATCATGCCCACTAAACCATACTTTCTTCTGATGTGCTAATCAAATATGTAAATTAGGCAAGGTGAGCGCTCACCATCAGACCAGAAGTTCACAGTGACCCACCACATACATTAGTGGTCACGTGAAACTGTACAAAGCAGTGAGAAGGAAGCAGTGTATATAGCAGTAAGGTCAAGGTCAAACCTGCACCACGGTGTTGAAGATGTTGCCGCTGCGGTGTGCAGTCAGTGCAGATGAGACAAGACCAGCATGTAAGCAGGTATGCAATAGTGGCTATAGATACAGCAGACAGTCTTCACTGCTCAACGTTCCGCCAAGACAGCAGAGCATTCAACAGCATCAGACCTTGCTGCAGTTCAAGAGAGCAACAGAATACATGTAGGGTGTAGCCTTGTCCAATAACAGGATTTAGTGTCAGATTAATTAACAGCCATATTCAACTCTGGTACAGCAAGTTAAGAAGATAGACTTTTTAAAAGTTCGAGCTGAGGTCTGGTCCCTGCCAGAAATGTGTATATCTACGAAAGTATTCTGTTGCGTCTCCTGACTGAACATATAGATGGCCTGGTTATAGTTTCGTGTGCCCTGCCCCCGTAGTAGCAAGTTACCCCTGGAGTAGCTCGTGGGAGCTGGAGATGGATCTCCGCGAGCCGTAGAAGCCCGGGGTGATGAGTCGCTTGTAGGACTCAAAGTTCTCCTTTCTACTGTCCAGAGCCCAGCTTATATGTTTCTGGGACTTGGTGCTGGGATTGGCTAGGTCCGCTAAACCAGGCTCGGACTTAGCTCGTATACGAGTATTTTGTAATGATCTTTCTTCTAGTTCCTCCTCATCTGTCCTGAAAGTCAAACACTGTCACATGATACACACACATTGCAATGGATTCTTCTGAAGCTCTGTGACGTCAGATACTAAACGGTTTAAGTCAGTTTAAATATCCTTTGGATCACTATAAACCAGCCAAAAGCTGTAGATAAGAATGTAGCAGGATTCGAAGTGGGTGTGTTAGTTTATTGGGGAGAAGGAAGCAGGATTCACTGCGGTGTGTTAGTTTACTGGGGAGAAGGAAGCAGGATTCACTGCGGTGTGTTAGTTTACTGGGGAGAAGGAAGCAGTATTCACTGCGGTGTGTTAGTTTATTGTGTTCGTGCTGTAGGGAGGTGAACATGGTGATGTGAGTCCACGCCCCAGGCAAAGAATTCCCCCAAATGTGTCTGTGCATGGCAGCATGGAGTGGCTCTCTCTGACGGATCTACCTATTTCTCATCTGGTCTGTGCTGTGTAGAAGTAGATAACAATGTCTGTGTCATTTGAATGTTGTTAGTGGAGGTGAACAGTGTCTAGTGAGTGTATTGTCAGCGCAGTATACTAATATTTCAGATAGAATTCCCATACACACAAATGCCTCCTCTAGAGCTTGGCATTTCGGAAAGAGCTGGCGGAAGTGAACACAATGTGGTTCCAAGACTGTGAGACAGACTAACCGTGCAGGCTGGTGAGGGACTGTGAGACAGACTAACCGTGCAGGCTGGTGAGGGACTGTGAGACAGACTAAGGGACTGTGAGACAGACTAACCGTGCAGGATGGTGAGGGACTGTGACATAGACTAAGGGACTGTGAGACAGACTAACCGTGCAGGCTGGTGAGGGAATGTGAGACAGACTAACCGTGCAGGCTGGTGAGGGACTGTGAGACAGACTAAGGGACTGTGAGACAGACTAACCGTGCAGGCTGGTGAGGGACTGTGAGACAGACTAAGGGACTGTGAGACAGACTAACCCTGCAGGCTGGTGAGGGACTGTGAGACAGACTAAGGGACTGTGAGACAGACTAACCCTGCAGGCTGGTGAGGGAATGTGAGACAGACTAACCATGCAGGCTGGAGAGGGAATGTGAGACAGACTAACCGTGCAGGCTGGGGAGGGAATGTGAGACAGACTAACCCTGCAGGCTGGTGAGGGAATGTGAGACAGACTAACCGTGCAGGCTGGTGAGGGAATGTGAGACAGTCTAACCGTGCAGGCTGGTGAGGGAATGTGAGACAGACTAACCGTGCAGGCTGGTGAGGGACTGTGAGACAGACTAACCGTGCAGGCTGGTGAGGGAATGCCTGCAGTGAACTATAACTATATGATTGTCTGTCGAGAGGCTGGGGAGTAAATCAAGAAACTTACAACTTCATGGATACAATCTAGTTCCTTACTGTTTGATGCATGTCTTTGAATAGTTATCCAGCATGATATCTCCATCTAACCATTTATGCCCAATAATTCAGAATTTGTCATCCATAAAGTTGTATGTTTTCTTGAATGAAACTATCGTATATGTTTAGCGAGACATGTCAGTGGATGTGCCTTGATGATATTGTCCACAGTATCCACCTGAATAATGATGAATCTAAGTCTCTGTAAGACTGGGTGTCCTGATCACCTGATGTACTTACACCCCGGCTAAACCCCCACCCACCCCTGCTGCCCCACTGCCCCCCACGCCACTGCCCAGCTACCCAACTCCCACTGCCCTACTCCCCAGCTGCCCCGCCACCCCACTGCCCAGCTACCCCACCCCCTGCTGCCCCACTACCCACTGCCCTACTCCCCAGCTGCCCCGCTACCCCCTGCTGCATAAGTCACTGGTAACTCATTCTTCTCTTCATCAACTTTACTTTTGCTTAACTAATATTTCTTCTTTAGGACTGCTTTGCCTTTATTTAACTTATACTTCCTCTTACTTTATTTCTGGCAAAGTGATACTTAAGAACTACTTTATTTCTGGTAAACTGATACTTAAGAACTACTTTATTTCTGGTAAACTGATACTTAAGAACTACTTTATTTCTGGTAAACTGATACTTAAGAATTGCTTTATTTCTGGTAAAGATACTTAAGAACTACTTTATTTCTGGTAAATTGATACTTAAGAACTACTTTATTTCTGGTAAACTGATACTTAAGAACTACTTTATTTCTGGTAAACTGATACTTAAGAACTACTTTATTTCTGGTTAACTGATACTTAAGAATTGCTTTATTTCTGGTAAACTGATACTTAAGAATTGCTTTATTTCTGGTAAATTGATACTTAAGAACTACTTTATTTCTGGCAAAGTGATACTTAAGAACTACTTTATTTCTGGTAAACTGATACTTAAGAACTACTTTATTTCTGGTAAACTGATACTTAAGAACTACTTTATTTCTGGTAAACTGATACTTAAGAATTGCTTTATTTCTGGTAAACTGATACTTAAGAATTGCTTTATTTCTGGTAAATTGATACTTAAGAACTACTTTATTTCTGGTAAACTGATACTTAAGAACTACTTTATTTCTGGTAAACTGATACTTAAGAACTACTTTATTTCTGGTAAACTGATACTTAAGAATTGCTTTATTTC